TAATGTTGGACATTGTTATGAAAAAGGAATCGGAGTTGAAAAGGACGTGCATAAGGCATTCATTTATTATCAAAAATTAGCAGAGATGGGACATGCTGGCGGAGCATATAATGTTGGTAATCATTATCGTAACGGAATCAGTATTGAAAAGGACGATTGCAAGGCATTTGAATATTATCAAAAAGCTGCTGACTTAGGCGAAGTTAGTGGAATTTCGTTTGTTGCCCGATGTTATCGAAACGGGATTGGGGTAGATAGAAATATACAGAAAGCCAATTTCTGGTATCAAAGGTAAAAAATATCTTTCGTTAAATTATGTTTAAAAATATTGATTTTAATTAAATAATTTAAACACTTAGATTTAACGAATCATTAATAGGTGAGTATGTTAAATTGTTAATTTAATTGTTAGTTTTTCTTCTAAATTTTAATCTTTGTTCTAGTTAAATATGACTACGCATTTAAACAATCTGATGTCGATGAATATTTGAAAAAAATTTTGATCGAACATAGATGCCAATTACCATGGATTCCTTATAATGAATTTAAGAATATTGTAAAAGTAGGAAAAGGTGGATTCGCGGTTGTACACTATGCCCGCTGGATTGATAAGAGCAGTAATATAGAACAATCTGTCGCTCTTAAAACACATCATACGTATGATACTAATCAATTTATTGAAGAAATGAAAATATATAGTAAAATCTCAGAGGCTAATCCATCATTTTTGAAATGTTTTGGAATATCAAAAGACTATAAAGGGAAATATGTCCTTGTTTTAGAATATGCTGCTATAGGATCTTTGAGTAAAAATCTTTATAATATATCACAGATGGACTGGAAAAAAAAGTTAAAGGTGTTACATTGCATAATTTTTGATCTTGAAGCAATTCATTCACAAGGATATATTCATAAAGATTTGCATAACGGTAACATATTACAAAATGAGTTGGATAATGCATATATCGCAGATCTAGGGCTCTCATCACCTTTGAAAAATGAAGACGAAGGTATTGTTGGCGTCTTACCTTATATCGCCCCCGAAATTTTGGACAAAGGTCAATATACTACAGCATCAGATATTTATTCGTTTGGAATGATAATGTGGGAAATTTTATATGGAATGTCGGTATCTTATAATCAAAAGTTTGCTATGCCGCAACTTCCAATTCAAATATGTTGTAATGGTTTAAGACCTCCTATTAATGAAAAAGCACCACAATGTTACGTGAATCTAATGAAAGAATGTTGGGATAAGGATCCAGAGAAACGACCGCCGGCGAAAAAGCTTTGCGACATTTTCAATAGATGGCAAGATGATGAAAATATTTTATTAGAATTGAGTAGATCTGAGACAAGAATTGAAAATATCGAAAAATTGCATTCGAGTATGTTTAGCGGAGGAAGTAAATTTATATCTAAGTCAATTTTAGACGTGAATAGCGAATTGCAATTTGGTATTCATTTATTTTAATAAACAAATATTATACACCGATCATGCCGAAATCAATAAACAGAATAGAGAATGAAAAATGACAGTTAATTCTATTTTGTTGACAATAAAATAAAATGATTATTTATATATATATGAATAAAATTCAACACTTACCGTCTATTAGTTTAGTATATGATAGCAGAATAAAGAACGAATAATTAATTTATTTAATTCTATTTTGTTGACAAGATTATATTTATATATATGAATAAAATTTAACACTTACCGTCTATTAGTTTAGTATAAGATAGCAGAATAAAGAACGAATAATTAATTTATTTATTTCTATTTTGTTGACAAGATTATTTATATATATATAAATAATCATTTTATTTTATTGTCAACAAAATAGAATTAACTGTCATTTTTCA